GAAAGAGGTCAAGGATCTGGAAAAGGATTATAGGTGCTCATTTCAGAAAAAAGTAGTTAATATCAACATAAAAAATTCAAAACTTTTCAAGCAGGTCTTATTCATCTATAACGTATATAATTCAAAGGCTTTTAGTATATTCACAGGGTTGTACAACCATCACCACGATAAATTTTAGAACATTTTTGTCTACCCTAAAAGAAACTCTGTATGCATTATCTGTCACTCTCCATCCTCCTTTACCCCATATCTGAACCTCTAAGCAACCACTAATATATTTTCTGTCTCTCTAGATTTGCCTATTCTGGAAATTTTATATAAAAAGAATTATATAATATGTGGTCTTTTGTGACTGGCTTCTTTGACTCAGCAAAATGTTTTCAGTTTACCCATGTTGTAGCACAAATGAGTACTTCATTTCTTTCATTGTATCTCATAATATAGAATATACATTATACTAAGAATAATATACAGATATACCACATTTTGTTTTTCCATTCATCAGTTGATGGACATTGGATTGTTTCCACTTTTTGGCTCTTAGGAATGGTGTTGCTATGAACATTTATGTACCAGTTTTTGTGTAGACACATGTTTTCTCTTGGGTATACCTAGGAGCAGAATTACTGGATCATATGGTAACTCTTTTTAACTTTTTGAGGAACTGTTGAACTGTTTTTCCAAATGATGTACCATTTTAAGTTTCTACCAGCAGTGTTTGAAGGTTCCAGTTTCTCCACATGCTTTCCCGTCTTTTTAAGTATCACTATTTCTTACCTGCAAACTAGGAAAACTAAACTATATCCATGAAAGAAGAGCATCAACAAAAGAAACCACCCACGCAGTTAAGAAATGAAGCCAAGCTTAATCAATCCTGGACCCTGGAAGGAAGGTCAAGGATTAATGCTTGCTTTTTTTTTCTTTTTCTTTTTTTTTTTTTTGCTGTACGCGGGCCTCTCACTGTTGTGGCGTCTCCCGTTGCGGAGCCTGTGGGCCCAGCTGCACTGCGGCATGTGGGATCTTCCCGGACCGGGGCACGAACCCATGTCCCCTGCATCGGCAGGCGGACTCTCAACCACTGCGCCACCAGGGAAGCCCAATGCTTGCTTTTTTTAAAAATTATTTTTTAACTAGTAATAAATAATTTTGATGTTATAGATCTGAATAATTAAAGTTCCCAAACCTTGTTTGCTACCAAACTAGATGGATGATTTCCTTGACTTTCTTTTCTCCAGCCATTCATAATCTGCACATCTTCTGGGATATAGAATGTGGAGTGCAAAGAGCTCAAACACTGGAATATGAGAGATCTGAAGTCCAACTCTAGCTAAGGCACTCTAAATTCACATATTAGTTAGTGCCAATCAAGTCAAGGATTAATTAAAAAATTAATTTTTACCACAGTCTGAGCACTGGCAATGAGCTCTTCTTTCATTCTGGGGCCTTTGAAAACCTTTTTATTAGTCTGCCAAAATGAAAAGTTAAAATAGATACCTATTTATAGAAAAGAAGAAAAAAAATCCAAGAGAATATTTTGGACCACAGACTGTCTTATGCAAGCTTTATTTCTATTCAAAAGATGATGCAACAGCTATGTTTTCCTGAAAAGATAAGTAAATGGAAACATATCTGATAGAAAAGCTAAGGCTATGCCATATCCATAAACTCACAAATTTTAAACAACTTAGATCAGTTTATAATTAGCAAAAAGGAAAGATGGGCTATGGGACAGTTTTCCAACTGGAAGAAAAATGCTAAGTGGCACTAGTTCTTATTACCCTCATTCTAGGTCAGCCACAATTTCTAATTTGTTTTTCAGAATAGAGCACAGAGACTGGACTAAAATTTAGCCCTTAGACTCTGGAAAATAGATTCTGGTTTTCCAAATATCTCCAAGCCACCACTAGCCTCTTATCTTTCTAAATCTTTCTTATACTGCCTCAGCAGCTAATTTCTAATTTCAAAGAACAAACAGCTGATTCAAAAAAAAATTTTTTTTTTGTTAAATATGATCCTATACATGACTGAATCTCTTCAAACAGCTCCATCTAATGTAAATAATATAGAGTTATGACATCATTTAATATTCATTCTGAGCACCCAAGACTGAAAACAAAGAATGTAGATTATGGACTGTAACCTAAACACCTTCGTAACCCAAACTTTTTAATCTCAGAAATACAGGCAATCACTATGATTTAAAAAATATCTGTACATTTGGAATGCTTGAAGCATCCTATGTCCCTTTTTATTAATATCATCTTATACCAATTCTAAGAAAATGGACTGACACAAGGTATAACTTCCTTGAAATGAAGTGCAGAGAGATCATAAAAGAGAATATAAAGCAGCTCATATGTGAGTGACTTACCTACATTTTGGCCACTCAATCAGCAGTCATTAAGGGGTCTTTACTATTTATGACACACCTTCATTTCTTTAAACGATCATGTAATATTATGTACAAAATAAATGCTTTATTATTTTGGAAGGTTAGATTATGTTGTTAAAGCCCCAAACTGTGAGGTAATGATAGTTATAATAACTTACCAACTGGACTAGTAGAAACTCGCTGGGAAGGTGATCTGAAGCCAGGTGCCTTGGAGTTGTCAGGGTGCACGTTTTCCAAGTGTCCAAGTACAGAGTTACCCAGGAACGCTGACTGAACAGTGAAAGAGGCATCTGCAGTAACTCGTGAGGACAGTGGACCATCTCCCCAACCCTGGTTAGCTGGCACCTGACTGCTGTCAAAAAGACTACTGAAGTGATTGAAAAGTGTGGCTGGGCCAAACGTAGGTGGCAAAGATTTATTTGCTGGGTTAATGTGCATCTGAGAACCATTCATAATGTTCATGGCTGAAGAAAGCTGCACTGCAGCTGGTGGGCCTTGAGGTGGTGTTAAAGGAACTGGATTTGTCACAAAAATAGACTGGGGATCCTGGTGTATAGTTGCATTTGGTACCACCGAGTAAAAAGAACTTCTGGCTTGCATTCGATGAGAAACTCGAGGTGCTGGTACAGCTAACTGAGGTAAATTACTGGTATCCTGATTATCAGCAGCAACCAATCTAGGTGGTGCCAAAGTCAATGGAGCAGGTTCTGAATTAGATGCAAAAGGCATTGACATAGGACTTAAATCAGACACACTGGATGGCTGTGTTTCCTCCTGTGTGTTATTGGAGGGAGGAGTGGGACTACCAGATGGGTGAGTTTCTGGAGCTCCTGGGGTGTTGCTGGCAGAGCTACTGCAGCTGTTGGCAGTTGAAGAGGGGGTACACAGGTTTGCCATGGACTGGTCCTGTGTGGACACTTTCTCTTTGGGGGCTGGCATGGCAGAGAAAGACTCCGTCTTTTGTGAAGAAAGCTGTGCTTGAGGAGTACTTGCAGGCAGAAATGTGGTGGGAACTTGCCCACTAGTGACAGGTGCAGAGGAGACAGAAGGCAGGGTACTACAAGTGCTTGTCACAGAGGAAATCACTGCTGCTGGAGGACTTGTCTTAGGCACACAGGCAAACAACTGCTTTCTGACTGATGAAGGAGTCCGGGTATTAGTCACACACAGTTGCTGACTGGCAGCAACTACAGAAGAGACAGTGATAGGACAACTGGCAGTAGCTAGTCCAGCAGACTCTGAGGGTAAAACAGTCCCATTCTGGTTAGGTAGACGGCCTGTATTATTATGCTTTGGAGAGCTATTTGTGTTGCCAGGATTCACAGGTCTCACTGGGAATGGTCCCCAAGTGTTAGGAGAAGGTGAAAATGTTCCTCCAAACTGGGCCATGGGTAAACGAGGATGCCGAATCTGTTGCATAGTTTGAGCAGCCAGCAGGGCAAAATGAGGGTGAGGATAAGCTAAGGGTAGAGAAACTGGGAAAGAAGAACGTACATTTGCTGGAACGTTCTTATTAAGTTTATTAGTGGGCTGGAACGTAGATAATGTTGTTGCCTGTGAAGTTACAAGACTTGGAGCACCCAAGGGAAATGCATTTTTACTGGAAGCTGCTGTGGTGCCTACTCCAGATGAGAAGTTTGCATGGATGGCTTTGGTGCTGGCAGGTGTTCTGATATGGTTTTTAGGAATCAAGTCTTCCAGTTCCTTAGCAGGATCTTGAATAAGTGCATTGATAAGTTGAACTGCATATCTTGTTGATTCTGTACCACCCCTGGGGAGAAAACAAACAAAAAACAGAACAAGATCAAAAATATACAAAACTAGGTAATCTTTACCATGAAACAGAATTCTTGATTGTACCATACCTAACAAAAATGTACTTCTAATAAAATTTAATTTCCTCATAGAACTAATGATATATATATATCTCACAATTACCTTATTGTGATCATTCTCTCGCCATTCTTATCTTTTTGTTTATCCACATCAATATGGGCACCAGTAACATCTTGTATTGCAGTGATGTTGCATCCTCCTCTTCCCATTATCCTGGAAACCACTGAGGCTGGAACAGACAATTTCTTTGACCTACAAAATGAAGACCACACATGAGCTTATGAAATCAAAATGTCTATTAAAATAGATGTCTCGGGCTTTCCTGGTGGCGCAGTGGTTGGGAATCCGCCTGCCAATGCAGGGGATATGGGTTCAATCCCTGGCCTGGGAGGATCCCACATGCCACCGAGCAACTAAGCTCGCGTGCCACAACTACTGAAGCCCACACGCCTAGAACCAGTGCTCGGCAACACAAGAAGCCACCGCAGTGAGAAGCCCATGCACCGCAGGGAGGAGTGGCCCCTGCTCGCCGCAACTAGAGAGAGCCCGCACACAGCAGCAAAGACCCAACGCAGCCAAAAATAAATTAATTAATTAAAAAAAAAAATGATGTCTCAGTAAGTATGTTCATGAACATTTGTAGAATAGTATTTCTCAAACCTTAAAGAGGAAATTATTAGAAGTTTTTATTTTAGAAACTGACCTCTTATTATATTGAATTTAATCTAGTAAAGGTAAAAAACACACTGCCATTTAAAAAAATATTTAAGTTACTCATGATCTCAGCATTCAAATCTGCATAAACTATCACATGTTAACTAAACTGCAATGATCATATATTGATACTTTCAAAATTAAAATAATGCATACCACATTGTTAAACTCCATACTGAAAATGAATAAAGGCAGCTTATCAGTGTCAACAACTTTACTTAGCAATAAAAAATAAAGCGTCAGATTTGTACATAAAAAGTAATCCACAAGTGGAGCCTGGGACTTCCACTTGTGTGAGAAAACACCAGAGGCTGATTTTGGGATCTGACAAGATGGCCTGGGTGTCCCGCAGGATTATCAGGGAAACCCAGTGTTTGCTGGCAGGACCAAATGAGAGCAACACCCATTATTTTCATGTGGTGGTCACTGCTGGCTGCCAGGATTCCCTCCTATGGAGGGACCCTCAAACTTTGAACTATACCTTCCAGAAGAATACCCAATTGTAGACTCTAAGATACATTTCATGATCCAAATTTAATATCCTAATGTAGACAAACTGGGAAGAATATATTTAGCTATTTTGAAAGCTAGAGCATAGACTAGGCCATGAATAATACTTAAATCAATCTGATCATCAAGTGTGCATCAATTCTGTTCTGCCAAGACTTCTTCCCTTTATGTTTGCTTTTAATGGACACAAAGCCTTAGAAAAATTACAGAATAAAAACTCAGACATCTTAGTCCTTTGGTGATTAAGTGCACATTAGCAAACCTATGTCTTATTCTGATTCCCTGTTGTAAAGCATGAGCAGAGGCTAGAAATACCTTCTGGATTGTGTGAAACATTTTAAAGCAATGGCTCCTCTCTTTTATTCATTTCCTCCATCATGGTTTAAGTATAAAGCAGTGTGAATGAAGGGAGTTGTCAAAGTTAGCTGCAGGGGTGTTGGTATTTGTCTTTATTTTTTTTTTTTGAGGGAGAAGGTAGTTTTAATTTTATGGGCTCCCCCCGCTTTATGGTGATCTAACTGCATTAGTTAAAAGCAGATATAGATTCTCTAGCGAAGTCTAACTTTATTTAAATGCTGTAGATGGACAAACTTTTCTGAATCAAAATGGGACCATTACACAAACATCATAGCCTTCACAAATAGCCTTATGACTTTGCTGTCAATTGAATCTTCCCCTTAAGAAGCCGGTGACCTTTTTGTATGGTTTGTCTGTAAATGGCATGTCTTATGTTTTAATAAAATATTTTTTGTTATTCTAAAGCCAACATTTCTTGTATCATATAAAATATGCCTACAAAATTCACATACTGTTTCTAATTTTGCTTTAGCCTACTCTGGATGTAGTATGGCACTGCAACTGAATATAATAACCACATTCAAATTATTCATTAATTAACTGGATAACCGTCTCACAAGAGGAGAAAAGTTAAAAAGACGAGACTAATACTACTTACCTTCGAACAACTTCTTTCCACCCTTCCTCTCTTTTTTGCCCCCTTTTAGGGCTAGTCAGATTCAGCTTTATGTTTGAAGAGCTTAATGGCAACGACACTGACTTGTAGGTTGTTGATAAGGAATTAGGATTCACTTCACCTTCAAGTCTGAGAAGAGAAATATCAAGGCCAATAAATGATAAATTTTAAGATAGAAACTCAAGAGATTTGCTGAAGTAACTGAATTAAAATTTGGCACACCAGGGCTTCCCTGGTGGCACAGTGGTTAAGAATCCGCCTGCCAATGCAGGGATACGGGTTCGAGCCCTGGGCCGGGAAGATCCCACATGCCGTGGAGCAACTAAGCCGGCTCACCACAACTACTGAGCCCATGTGTCTAGAGCCCGTGCCCTGCAACAAGAGAAGCCACTGCAACGAGAAGCCCACGCACCGCAACGAAGAGTAGCCCCCGCTCGCCACAGCTAGAGAAAGCCCGCATGCAGCAACCAAGACCCAATGCAGCCAAAATTAAATAAATAAATTTATATAAAAAAACCCAAAAACCTTGTTAAAAAAAATCTGGCACATCAAATTATTAACAATTCAGAAAAATAGAAATAGGGCAAAGAGTCCATTATTTATTTTAGTATTAAAATGGATTCAGGAGCCAAAAGAACTATATATAATCAATAAAAATGACATAGTTAAAATCAAGGAACGCTAATATTTTCAGCTTCAAAGTTGAATGTTAAAAGTTCTAACAGGGCTTCCCTGGTGGCGCAGTGGTTGGGAGTCCGCCTGCCGATGCAGAGGACATGGGTTTATGCCCCGGTCTGGGAGGATCCCACGTGCCGCGGAGCGGCTGGGCCCATGAGCCATGGCCGCTGAGCCTGCGCATCCAGAGCCTGTGCTCCGCAATGGGAGAGGCCGCAGCGGTGAGAGGCCCGTGGACCACACAAAAAAAAAAAAAAAAAAAAAAAGTTCTAACAATCTCATTGCATAACTAGCACATGCATAACTAGCACATGATAAGGAGGACACTGGTGAATTTCAGTTTTAAATGCTGAAGACAGGTAATGTGGTAGACTTCAATTGTTCAACACAACTTATGTTACTTCAAGTTCTTGTGCCAGGCATGAAAAAGGAAAGGTAGGTGCAGAGTTAACAAGTCAGAAAATTTTACCGTGTCTGAGTTTTGGAAGCAGCAGTACTTGTCTTTTCTTCTTGGGAATGGAGTAGCAGTGAGGGGTATCTCCTATCACTAGAGGAATTCACATCCATAGTGAAATTTAACTCTTGGCTTTTACCACCACTACTACTCTCACTGTTGCAATCTGTGCTGTCCAAGTTATCTGAATCACTATTCCCACCTGCACCGCCACCTCTGGGTTCTCCATTTATTTTATTCTTATCTGCCTTTTGCTGTGCTAAGGATATATGTTGTTCTGGTAATATTAAATGTGCAGTGGGAGGGGTCTCTTTTGTTTTGTTCTTCTTATTCTTCCGATTGGTGCTGGGAGTTGTCACAACATTGGCCCTTTTTTTCCCAAACACATTTGTGAATGTTGCAGATGTTGCAGAGATTCCGATTGTGGTGGTGGTGGTCGCACTAGGAGGTTCTAAGGGAACTTCTTGCTCCACTGAAATTATGGAAAAGGATAAAAATCACTCTGAGAGCCACAGATCTCAAAACAAATTGTGACAGAATATACCTAATAATTCATAATAATTCAGACCCTTAGGTCATATTTTCCTTTTACCAGTATTCACTAGTAAATAAAGAAATCTTTACTGTTGTGAGAATATACTATATCATATTTTGATGTCTAACTTGGTATAAAACATTAACATTCTTAAGATCTGAGGGCTTCCCTGGTGGCGCAGTGGTTGAGAGTCCGCCTGCCGATGCAGGGTACACGGGTTCGTGCCCCGGTCTGGGAAGATCCCACATGCCGCGGAGCGGTTGGGCCCGTGAGCCATGGCTGCTGAGCCTGCGCGTCCGGAGTCTGTGCTCCACAACGGGAGAGGCCACAACAGTGAGAGGCCCGCGTACCGCAAAAAAAAAAGATCTGAAATGCTAGTCTCATAAACTAAACAAAAATCACAACGTAGTGTGAATTTAAGAAATTTTTCAAATAGCATTTTAGAATTAGAAGTCAAATAGAGCAAAATTATTTGCCTACTACAACCACTGCCAAACTGTACAATAAACAACTCTTTGAGAGTAATGGACCCCAACCCTATAGAGCTTCAAGACTGAACCTTAGTTAAAAATTTATTGAGGAACTGGATCTCTTCCCAGTTTCCAACTGGGGAAGGAGAGGGTAGAGAAGAACCTGAAGAAAAGCTGGCAAACCTCTTACTGTATCACTTTTAGTACATACATAATGTTTTTACAGGGGAACTTAAGTTACAACTGAATGGCTTCAAATTATGTGCTTGCCTTCCCCCTTCAGTTTCTCTGTGTCACTTTACAATGTAAAATATTTAGAAGTATTTACTATGGAAGTCAACTGTCTATTTCAGATTAAAGTAACTGAATATTTAACTAGAATTAGTTTTTAGAGTTTTGAGAGCAAAAAGCACTCAAAATGAAGTTGATAAACACAGAAGAATTTTATCACTAATTCAGATGGTTCATTTCTCACCATCTTCATCATTCTCCTCTTCATCTTCATCCTCTGGTAGTTCTGAATTCTCCTTAGGTTTGTTTTCCTCATCTTCTTCCTGCTTCCTTTTCTGCTCCTCTTTTTTCTTTTTTCTCTTTTCTTTTCTTTTCTCTCTTTTAGCTGCAAGAGCCTGCTTTCTGCTCTCTTCTCTTGACTGCAAATAAAGTAGGTATCTCATTTTATCAATAAGGCAGTAATTTAAAATAAATAATGAAATGATATTTTTGTTTATGATACATGGGGTTTCCCATAGATGTCAGTCTTAACACACATTTATAAAAGCAACAAAAGAAGAAATAGATAAGCTGGACATAATCAAAATTAAAAGCTTTTGTGCTTCAAAGGGATCATCAATAAAGTGAAAAGACAACCCATAAAAAGGTGAAAAATTTTTGCTTATCTGGTAAGGGCCTTGTATCAAGAATTTATAAAGAACACGTTAACTCAATAATGAAAAGACAAATAACTCAATTTAAAAAATGGGCAAAGGATCTGAATAGACGTTTCTCCAAACAACATATACAAATGGCCAATGAACACATGAAGAGATAGATGCTCAATATCACAAGCCATCAGGGAAAAGCAAATCAAATCACAGTGAGATACCCACTTCACTGTCACTAGGATGGCTATAATCAAAAAGACAGATAAAACAAATCATGGTGAGGATATGAAGAAATCGAAGCCTTCATATACTGCTGGTAGGATCATAAAATGGTGCCGCTACCTTGGAAAACAATCTAGAAGTTTCTCAAATGGTTAAACACAGAACTGCCATATGATCTAGCAATTCCATTCCTAGATATACACCCAATGAAAACGTATTCATACAAAAACTTGTACACCATGCTTGCTTCAGCACCATATATACTAAAAAAATTGAAATAACACAGAGAAGATTAGCAGGGCTCCTGCATAAGGATGAAACACAAACTCATGAAGCATTCCAAGTTAAAACAAAACAAACAAAAAATTTGTATGCCTATGAAATAGAAACAACCTAAATGCCCATCAACTAATAAATGGGTAAACAAAATGTGGTATATCTATATAATGGGATATTATGCAGCAGTAAATAAATAAATAAATAAATAAATAAACGAATTACTGATACATGCTACAACATGGATGAACCCTGAAAAGATTATGATTTGCAAGAAGCCAGTCACAGAGGACCAAATACTGTCTGATTATATTTATATGAAATGTCCAGAATAAGCAAAACCATAGATTTATGTGGCATTTGTTTGACTAAACTGCAGCTATTGCTGGAAAGGGTGTGGAGAAAAGGGAACCCTCTTGCACTGCTGGTGGAAATGTAAATTGATACAGCCACTATGAAGAACAGTATGGAGGTTCCTTAAAAAACTACAAATAGAACTACCATACGACCCAGCAATCTCACTACGGGGCATATACCCTGAGAAAACCATAATTCAAAAAGGGTCATGTACCACAATGTTCATTGCAGCTCTATTTACAATAGCCAGGACATGGAATCAACCTAAATGTCCAACGACAGATGAATGGATAAAGAAGATGTGGTACATATATACAATGGAATATTACTCAGTCATAAAAAGAAATGAAATTGAGTTACTTGTAGTGAGGTGGATGGACCTAGAGACTGTAATACAGAGTGAAGGAAGTCAGAAAGAGAAAAACAGATACCGTATGCTAACACATATATATGGAATCTAAAAAAAAAAAAAAAGGTTCTGAAGAACCTAGGGGCAGGACAGGAATAAAGACTCAGACATAGAGAATAGACATGAGGATGGGGGAGGGGGAAGGGTAAACTGGGACAAGTGAGAGAGTGGCATGGACATATATACACTACCAAATGTAAAACAGATAGCTAGTGAGAAGCAGCCACATAGCACAGGGAGATCAGCTCGATGATCTGTGTCCACCTAGATGGGTGGGATAGGGAGGGTGGGAGGGAGAAGCAAGAAGGAGGAGATATGGGGATATATGTATATATCACTTTGTTATACAGCAGAAACTAACACACCACTATAAAGCAATTATACTCCAATAAAGATGTTAAAAAAATAAAATAAAATGCAGCTATTATGGTTTTATAAGGTATTAACAAATTTCACTATGAAAATATCCACAGGAGGCCATTATGGAAATTACTTTTGCCTTACTTTATAGTTTTGCTTTGGTTAGTACTAGAAAATATATTTTTTTCAGACAAGGGAACATGGTAATGGTCGCCTCACACCATCATGAAAATTCAAAACAAACAGAAAACACATCAAATTATTCATATTTGTGTGGAAATTATCTAAAAAAGGTTCACCATAAGAATCTGTCAATGAAGTCCAGTTGTCCTGGTAATTAAGTAAAGCATTTTCCTCAAAACTATAATTTACCATTCTGAGTCATAAGTTACTCTTTGACATTTTTATTTATCTAATCAGGCATAGACGAACTATGGTCTGAATGTTAAGACTTTTACATTTTAAATGGTTGAAAAAATAAAAAGAAGAGTATTTTGTGACATGAAAATACTATGAAATTAAAATTTTGATGTCCATAAATAAAGTTCTATTGGAACACATTCATTTAGGCATTGTCTATGGGTGCTACAACAGCAGCGTCAAGGAGTTTTGACAGAGATCGTATGGGCCTACAAAGCCTAAAATATTTACTTTTCAGCATTTCATAGAAAAAGTCGGTTGGGAATTCCCTGGTGGTCCAGTGGTTAGGACTCTGCGCTCTCACTGCCAAGGGCCTGGGTTCAGTCCTTGGTCGGGGAACTAAGATCCCACAACCACGAGGCGAAACCAAAAGAATTTAAAAATTAAAATTAAAAAAATAAAGAATAAAAAAATAAGAAGTTGGGTTTCCCTGGTGGTGCAGTGGTTGAGAGTCCGCCTACCAATGCAGGGGATGCGGGTTCGTGCCCTGGTCCGGGAAGATCCCACATGCCGCGGAGTGGCTGGGCCCGTGAGCCATGGCCACTGAACCTGCGCATCCAGAGCCTGTGCTCCACAACGGGAGAGGCCACAACAGTGAGAGGCCCGCGTACCGCAAAAAAAATTAAAAATAAAAAAATAAAAAGTCTGTCAACCCCCTATGTAAATGAGAAAGGGGCTGAGCATTAAGAGAAAAAATAATTGTCAACTGAATATGCAGTTTCATCACTCGGTTGGCATAAGAGCAAAATGGCTGTTTAAGGAATTGCTGACCATATCCCTGGATAGTTGCACAAAAATAAAAATTATAGAACACAGGAGGCACCTTAGTAGTCATCAAACTTCAAACTTCATTTTAAAATGAATATTAGTTTCCCCCTTCTGATTTTAACTGTAATCAAGTTTATCATGGAGGTATTAAAATTTATTTAATTTCCTAATGATAAAACTTTAAGGTTTATACCCTTCCCCCTGTTACAAGCAATTTAACAGTGAATGTCCTTTTGTATATTCACATTTTTGAGCATTTATCAAAGTATTTACCTTAGGCTAAATTTCTAGAAGAGGAGTGACTGGAGTAAAGGTATGCACCCTTTTTAATTTAATGCATTTGTCAAATCATCTTCATTAACAGTTATACTAATTTATACCATACATCAAAAATCATACTAGAATGCTAATTTCTGCATACCCTAGCCATCAATATCTATTCCCAAACCTTTAAATTTTAAGTTTTCCTAATCTGGTAAAAGAAATTTAAATCACTCTTTCACTGCGCATTTCTTTGTTTATTCATGAAGTTGAGCGTTCTCCATCTATTTATTGAACATTTATATTTCTTCTGTGAATTACCCATTTGTGTGATCATTTTTCATTCTGGGCAAGTTATCTTTTTCTCATTGGTTTTTTTTTTTTTTTTTGATGTGACCATTGTTTTGTTTTGTTTTGTTTTGTTTGTGATACGCGGGCCTCTCACTGTTGTGGCCTCTCCCGTGGCTCCGGACGCGCAGGCTCAGCGGCCATGGCTCACGGGCCTAGCCGCTCCGAGGCATGTGGGTTCCTCCCGGACCGGGGCATGAACCCATGTCCCCTGCATCGGCAGGCGGACTCTCAACCACTGTGCCACCAGGGAAGCCCCTGATGTGACCATTTTTAAAGTCTTTATTGAATTTGTACAATATTGTTTCTGTTTTATATTTTGGTTTTTTGGCCACGAGGCATGTGGGATTAGAGGCAAAGTCTTAACCTCTGGACCACCAGGGAAATCCCTTTCTCGTTGATTTGTAAGCAATTTTTTCTTCTGTTTTTAACTTACAAGTTTTGATTTTTTTAAAAATAAACTAAAAATTGATGTCAAAATTTTAGCATCTCTCAAAATGATCTTTTTCCTTCCTTTTATCATCAACAAAATATCTTAATATTAAGCTATCTCCTGCATTTCTATAATAACTCTACTTGATTATGCTATTTATTCTTTTAATATAACTTCTGGGTTCATAACAACACCTTCCTTTTCCAAGTAAGCATACTGAGCCTCAGAAAAGCAACCTTTTTTTTTTTTTTAACTTTTTCCATTATACTACCACACATCCTAGGAAACTTAGACACTTACTCTTTAATTAAGGATCTAATAAACCACTTATAGCCCAGACCTTATAATAAACAAAAGATTTCCAATGTTTAAAAATATTTCTTCCCAGACTAATATTAAAACCACTTAGGCAGTAATGTTATTTGGAAAATTGTGATCTGCTCAGAAACTAATTCCTCACTTATATGGTTAAAAATATTTTTTATGTATAGGTCAGAATCAAAAAATTGATGGTAGTTTGATAATCTATTAATCATTTTTTAAAAAGAGATTTTGTTAAGATTATGGTCATATCAGTGGCAAATTTATTCTACTAGATTTTCAACCATTTCTAATAAGGAAAATTATTTTTCCCACTCACCTTTTCCAGATCAAGTTCCTTTAAAAGAATACTTGCATTCTTATTTGCTTCTGCAGCCTGCTGGTCTTTAGCCTTCACAATTGTCTCAACACACTGGTGACATTTTTTCAACAGTTCCTACAGTGGAAAATGGAATTATATAAATATAGGAACACATAAACAGGCCAATAAAACTTGAGCTGATAAGTATACCAAAGTTCAGGGCTTAAAGCCTCAAATTACTGAATATTCACTAAACCAAATTAAGCTATCCTTTGAGTCTAGTCTTTGATTGAAAAATCAAAATAAGGTACCGTTTTCTAAAACGTTTGTGTTCTTAGAAAATTTTCTAATCAGGCTAATAGTCTAGTGATAAACTTTAGCTGCAGTCACTGTAATTATGGTCCATAATAGGAAGGAAATCTCAAAATAATTTATAAAAAATATACCCATTCTTCATTTGCAAATGGGGAAACTAAAGCATAGAAAAATCAGATGATCAGTCTCATAGAGGATGAAAAGAACAGGCTGCTAACATATACTCTGGCATATAGTTCAACAAAGAACAAAAATGTGCTTCAACAGCATATTAAACCTACCTTATCTGTGATTGTTGCTATGTATCTCATGCATTCTATATCAGAAGGGAACTGATTGACCTCTTTCACCAAATACTGAACAACTTTTACATGACCCTGTAAGAAGTATAACAAAAAATACACAAAAGAATACTTTGAAAATTGGCCCATATGCTTAAAAACTTAAGGGTAAAAGGTACAGTAACACGAGAGTTTACTAAACTTAAAATTGAAATTATGAACATAGAAACAGTGTTGAGTTTATAAACAGAAAACGATAAGTACAACATGCTGGGAAATGTATGGTGGACCAAATGACATTTCTCCTGAATTTAATCTGCCCACATCCCATTGAAAATAGACAAACTTTAAAAAATATATATCTCCTAGAATAAATCGATTAGTAAAATAAAAATTGGTGATGTGAAATGAACCTCAGTATAAAAGGGAAATTAGTCCGAAAACAAAGCGGATGTTCTAGATTTCAAAGCATTATTTTGGCTCTATCTTATGAAACTAAACGAGGTAGGTTGTCATACTTATCTTGAGTTCTATGACTTGAATCTAGGTAAAACACTTTCTAAATGCCATTATCAGGGGCTGGATGATCTGTAATCAATTATAAGTACATCTATTTTAACATAACCAATCTTGCATCGTTTCCCCTCCTACTAAAGTTCGTTTAATCTTCAAGAATTAGTCTGATAGGGGGACCTCCCTGGCAGTCCAGTGGTTAAGACTCCACACTTCCACTGCAAGGGGCACGGGTTCGATCCCTGGTTGGGGAATTAAGATCCCGTACGCCGCACAGTGCGGCAAAAAAAAAAAAAAAAAAAAAAAAATTAGTATGATGGTGACAAAAATCAGAAAAGTGGCTGCCTCTGGGGCAGGGAATTAACTGAGAATGGGCATGATGAAACTTTCTAGGATTATGGAAGTATTTTATATCTTTATGGAGTGTGGGTTACCTAGGTACATGCATTTATCAAAATTCATGTACCTTAGACTTGTGTTTTTACTATATATAAATTATACCTCAATTAAAAGGAAAGAAAAAAATTGAAACAAAAGGGGAAATATTTAAGATTTTTTTTAAGACTCATAACTTACACTGCTCTCATTCAATAGCGATTTACTGATCATCTAGTATGTGTCAGGCACTGAGCTGAACAACTGGGTACAAACACTGGTGAAAAAGACAGTCATGAATCTTAGCTTTCATAGATCTTGTAGTCTAACTGGGGAGATGGGCATTAAAAAAGTAATACATGTTTGAATGTATAATTACAAAATGAGATAAGGAAAATAACAGTGAACTATAAAAGAGAACAAGAGAAACTTTTCAGATTGGGAGTTAGAAAAGGACTTTCTGAGAAGTGATATTTAAGGATGAGTAGATATTAAAGGATGAAGAGAAGTGAGCCAGGTGAAGAGTAAGGGAAAGAACATTTCAGGAAAAGAAAACCAGTGAGCAAAGGCCCTCAGGAATTTAAAAATTTAGTGCATTCTAGGCCAGTGGCTGGAGTGTAGTGACCAAAGGGGAAAGGGAGTAGAAATGATTGGTCTGAGGCTGGCATGAGCCATATCATGCAGGGCTTTGTGAGCCACATTAAGTAGTTTACATGTTATCACAATTGCAACGGGAAAGCTTTGTAAAATAGAGCAGATAAGTAAGCCTTAATATATATAGGAGATATAATAAATTTTTATGAGTCCACTTGTTTTTGTTCTTTAGGTAGAGAAAACATTCATCTACATATAATATCTGCCCTTAAATCTCACATTTTATGTACAAAAACATAACAAAACTAGTCAAGACACCAAGTGATTTAACAACCAAGCTGCTTATAGGGAACTACCATATAGCTCTTAGATTTGGCCACAAAGAAAGTGGAAAGACAGCAAAAGTTTGTATATAGAAACAGAGTCAATCCCTCAAAACCAATTTATCTTTCTCACGATTTCAGCTTAAAATTTAGTAGTTTTAAACAAATTCTATCCTTTTTCCCCCACATCAAGTTACCTTGCGAAATGCTGACATAAGAGGTGTGATTTTCCGGTTATCTGCTGCATCCACATCAGCACCTGCTTGCACTAGCAATTGCACCACATCAAAATGACCACCATTGGATGCCAACCAAAGTGGTGTGTTTCCCTTCTTGTTACGAACATCAATATGGGCTCCCCTATAAAAATCAAATAATGTTAATATAGTTTGTTTCCTATGAGAAGAGGCTGACTTTTTCTATTTTTCTCTAATTTGTCTTTCATCTTTTATAAAATAGCAAACAAATAATCTGTTCTTTAAAATGTCAATAAAGTAAAACAATTTTATTAACTGTAAAGGCTCTGAAAAGTGAAAGGGATCATAGAAATTCTATACATAAATATAAAATTTACCCACCTATTAATCAGGAGCTCACAAAATTTGTAGTGACCTTTGTCCGCTGCTATTGTTAAAGCAGTATCTCTTGAGGAAGGCACAGGGGGGGCATTGACATCTGCCCCTTTATCTAGGAGAACTCTTCCAACCTCTGCATATCCTCCAGAAGCAGCTTCCATCAAAGGGGTAAGACCAGTCTGTTTAAACCAAAAAATTATGTGAGTAAATTATATTAATTTCTTTAAGGGACTGAAACAATTGACTTATAAGTGTATTCTGTTTCTGATTTTCTCTCACAAGAGAGCTAAGCAACATTCACTCTTAAGCTTTACTAAACAGCAAGTGAAAATAGTTAGGTTCAGTTAGATATGCTAGAATGATTTCTCTTATACTAAAAAATAAAAAAAAAATACTAAAAAAATAAACAATTTCATGCTAAAAAAAAACAATTTCATAACATCTCTGTTATAAATTTACATGAGACAATAACTTCTCTGTACAACAAACAGAAATATTAAAACGAATAAAAAGAAAATTAAATATGGCACAATGTTCAATGGGAAAACTTTGTTTAGAATATACTCTATCTTGTTTAGAATATACTCTATCTGAAAAGGCAGTCTGCTAAATAACCCAGGATAAATTCCTTAAATGCTACTCAAACTTGGGTAAAATAGATTAAAATATCATTTTATAAATTTTATGCATGTGTCTTTGCTCATTAGTCTCCAACATTTCACCAGAAGACTTTTCCTACTGGTATCATTACCAAAATAATATGGCTTTCTTTAGGACTTCTAATAGATAAATGGGTCACACTGAATACTTGTAATACAAAAAGTAATCTGTCATGGTCAGATTAGATTTTAGTTGTCTTAATTGTATAATCTATGCAGCAATTTATTTTTAATAATCATGCTTTTATTTATTTGTTTATGGCTGCACTCGGTCTTTTTTTTTTTTAAACAAATTTATTTATTTATTTTTGGCTGTGTTGGGTCTTCGTTGCTGCACACGGGCTTTCTCTAGTTGCGGCAAGCAAGGGCTACTCTTTGTTGTGGTGTGCAGGCTTCTCATCGCGGTGGCTTCTCTTGGTGCGGAGCACAGACTCTAGGCACGTGGGCTTCAGCAGTTGTGGCACACAGGCTCGGTAGTTGTGGCTTGTGGGCTCTAGAGCACAGGCTCGGTAGTGTGGTGCACATGTGGGATCTTCCCAGACCAGGGCTTGAACCCGTGTTCCCTGCATTGGCAGGTGGATTCTTAACCACTGTGGCATCAGGGAAGTCCCTGCATTGGGTCTTTGTTGCTGTGCAGTATTTCTCTAGTTGTGGCGAGTGGGGGTTACTCTTTGTTGTGGTGTACGGGCTTCTTATTGTGGTGGCTTCTCTTGTTGCGGAGACCGGGCTCTAGGCACGTGGGCTTCAGTAGTTGTGGCGCACGGCCTCGGTAGTTGTGGTGCGTGGGCTCAGTAGCTGTGGTGCACAGGCTTAGTTGCTCTGCGGCATGTGGGATCTTCCTGGACCAGGGATCCAACCCATGTCCCCTGCATTGGCAGGTGGATTCTTAACCACTGCGTCACCAGGGAAGTCCCTGCAGCAATTTTTTTGATTGGGGTTTTTACCAATGGTAAGCACATGCCTCATTAAAGGAGTTCTTCAAGCCACTCAAGGCTGAAGTTGGAAAAAAGTACTGATTCTATTTTTCTTCACTGCCTTTAATAAAAGTCATGAATGGTGATAGTGTGCCACTTGACCAATGGTCAGTGACACACTGTATAGCACTATTCTCCAGTCTTGCATTGGGGCATCAGTTTTAACTTATGACAATTTAAAATAGTACATTCAATTTAAGTTGCTCTTTCTATTAAAAATATATCTGATGTAGAGGACAAGTTATAAAATGCTTACCTTTGCCCTATGTTCAACATTGGCTTTTCGGTCCAGAAGCAAACTCACTACTTCTGCTCGTCCTTGGAAACAGGCCAAGGTGAGAGCTGTGTTCCGATTGGTCTCTATTTGGGCATTAATGTCTGAACCCATATCAAGCAGCAGTTTCACTGCAGGAACATGTCCATTCATTGCAGCCAACATCAGGGGAGAAATACCTAGTTTACTCCCAGTCCTAAGCGGGGGAAAATGTGCTTAGAAAATTAAAATAATATGTTGCCTATTGTTTTCTTAAAAAGCATAGAGAACATAAAAAATGAAAAAGCTTCGGTAAGAAGAAAGGTTTCTAACTCCAATGAACATATTTTAATTGTTTAGACTAATAATTAGAAGTAGGAAAATCTCACAATTTAAAACATAATCCCTATTCAGAGGCCATAAATTTCCAACTATATATAACAGTGTTTTCTGAAAAGAAACCTCTTTAAAAAAAGCAACGTTAGCTGAAATAAGTTTTGATTACTTATAAGCACATTATAGGAATAACTGTTGGCCTTGCAACTTTAGTACTATCTTAATTAAAAATGGTATCTGTCCAAATACTTAGGGGAAAACACTTAATTCCAAGGTAATAATTTACTAATCATGAGTAATAAAATAAACAGGTGATAGATACCTTGAATTAATTTCTGCCCCGGCATTAAGAAGAATCTTAATGATATTCACATATCCTCCAGATGCAGCTAGACTCAGTGGTGTATAATCAGACACATTCCTATGTTCTTTATTTGCACCCCGAGCCAGCAGCAAGTCTACTACCTACAAAGTAAAATATGAACAGAGAAATCTAGTTTACACCAAGGGTCTATCTTATAATGAAGGAAGCACAAAGAAATGGGACCTATAACTTCCTTGTCTAAATACCTAACATTTTAATTAAACCCTAAATATTCAAATATCAGCACTACAGAAATGAATTCAATTTCATACCAAGGAATTCAGAGCTATGAAATTCCAATCATACTGAAATAACAAGTTGTTACTGTTTCTATTCCTCAATTATTGAGTGATAAATTTGCATTTCACGTGTTAGGACTGTGCTCTACTGAATCCCAATAAACGTAAGGATGATGAGAATTTTTATTTTGCCTGAAAGGCAAGAAACAGATTCTTTAAAAGGGCATTTACTATCCTCATTAAATTTAATATATAGAACATGTCAAAACACATGCAAGTTTTATTCATGTAGCTAAATTACTAAGTATATGCATATTTAAAATACAAGTAAAGTGTTTACAAAATGAAAATTAACATTAACATACTTCCTGACGTCCACCAGAACATGCCAATGAAAGCGGAGTATCCTTAGTTCGTTCAGATTGTGCTTCTATGTCTCCACCTTTATCCAAAAGGATTTCAACAACTCCAACATGTCCTGCTGTTGCTGCCAGGATCAGTGGTGTGAAACCTAAATCAGAAAATAAAAATCTTGGTCAAATTTGTGTTTTTTAACATATTAAGGCACTGTTTTTAATTCTCTATTATTTTAGTAGGAAAAGGTCTTTAGGGCAGATACTTATAGTCATTTAACATAAAACTGCTTTAAACCCTAATTTGTTAGTGACAAAACCCCATAAACACCTGATAAAAAGAAAATGCTAAGTCAAACGAAACTATTAAAGTTTATACTCATAATAAACTTTGATACCTCTGCATGCTCTACTTTTAGATTAAGGAGAAAGCTAAACACAGCTTGCTTCATTGATGATCTACAGTCTGATTTTTGAATTTTTGAAGAATAATTTGGCTCTGTAGATTAACAAATCCAGATATTCTTAATTGAAATATGCGAACCCATTCTTTCACTGAATAGTCTAGGAACCACTTATTGATAGTAAAAAATGAATTGTTTTCTGATATAATTACTCTCCAACTTTATTTCTCACTAACATTTCTTACCTTTTTTGTCTCTGTGTTCAATTTTAGCATCTCGCGCTATGAGTACAGATACAAGTTCTTCATGGCCACCAGCACAAGCTAGTGTTAATGCTGTGTCATGGTTGCTCTCAGTCTAGGAAAAGGAAAAAAAACTTAGAGCCCGTGGGCCACAACTAAGAGAGCCCACATGCCACAACTACTGAGCCTGGGCACTGTGGAGCCCACGCACCACAACTAGAGAAGCCCACACGCCACAATGAAAGATCCCGCATGCCACAACGAAGACCCCGTATGCTGCAACTAAGAGCCGACACAGCCAAATAAATAAATTACCTAAATAAATAAATAAAGCAGTCTACTCACATGTGCATCAATGTCAACTGAAGGATACACAGGCACAGACTGGGAAGCCACATTGCTTGGAGACTGTGAACAGGGCTCAGGTGTAAGACATTCTGCCGTCTGAGAGGAACTGTTTGAACCAGTGGGCACTCTGCTACTCACAGCTGAAAAACAATATTCATATTGCTAAATTCTACTTAAAAGAGTAATGTCATTTGTGTACAGAAAAACACAGAAAACGGAAAATTCTATAGCAGTAATATAATGTAGTAGTTAAATCACAAGCTTGAGTCAGATGGACATATGTTTGAATCCCAGTTCTACCAATGACTTTCTGATCTTAGGCAAGTAATTTAACGTCTCTGAACCTCAATTTCCTTATGTGTAAAATGGGATGATAATTACAGTACCTCCATTGTAAGGTTGTTAGGAAAACCCCTTGAGATAATGAAGTAAAATACTGAGCATCGTACCTGATATTTAGTGCATATACAACAAATGGTAGCCTTTTATATTGTCAATAGGGAGAAAATAGTTTCCAATTAAAAAAAAAGGAATCTTATATCTTAGTTTGTAAAAGGCAATTAGATAAAAACATCCTGAGGACAATGCATTAAAAAAAAAAGAAGGAAAAAAGAAGTAGAAGAAGCAGAAAAAAGGGAAGAACAAGTTAGAATATTTCTCACATAAATAGCAGAGAGTATGTGTTTTTAAAATTCAATATTTACTCTGAAAATTTGCTAAAATGAATCAATGTCTGAAAATCAAACTATTTTTAAAATGAACATTGGAACTTTTATTTGGGACCTCAAAATCTGGTGTCTGAAACTGAATTAAATGAAATTATATCTTTATGTCTCTGCCTATTTCTTTTCTTTCATGAGATGGAGTTTGCCCCATGAAGAGGGAAATAGGACCTATCTCAGAGGGATGTTGTGAATTATCCATGAGAAATGTGCAAAAAGTATTTAACACAGTGTTTGGTATGGTAAGTGCCTAATATATGTAATTATCAGGTATTTTATAGGATTTTCAGTACTATTAATCACTGCATTGAAAAATAAAAACATTACAATTCACTCAAGAAAGAAAAAACTCAGAAAAAACATATAATCATTAATAATACAGAAAAAGACAACAAAGTTTCAATGATGGCAATAATTTCCTCTTACCCACACTAAAAGTCAATCAAAAACACACAGGTCTTAAAGAAAAATGTAAGCATTTCAAGACTGGAGAATGCTTTCTCTCTAGAATTTTGATATGACTGGATCCCAATCAAGGATACTGATCACAAGTATGAAAGATAAGTGTAGTATGCTAATAGTACTATACTATTATTATAGTACTGTACTATATTTAATAGTATGCTTTAAATAATAGCAAATTTTAAGATGTTCAGATATGTTTCTACATGAGCTGTCCCTCCCCCCTCGCAACAAATATATATAAAATCACATCTTGATAATATGAATTTCTACAGCTTCTGTCACCACATAAATATACATAATTTAACTATATGGTTACAAATAAAAATGATTATTATAAATATTTCTTTTGCCTGTAACACGCACAACGAAAACAAAGCTTTAAAAATTTTTGTCATTGAATGAATTAAAAGCAGATAGTATTTTGTTATGCCTCCTCAAAACAGCTGATATGTTTGGAAACAGTTCCAGAAATAAGACACTAAACATTGATATATGGCACCTTTGTAATAGTAAGATTTTAACAGTAGTCATATAATTATCAACATATATCTTACTAAAGAATTACTTTTCTATCATTAAATTTGTTTATTCATGTTATCTTTTTATTATGAAAAACAGATATTCAAAAAATTTAAAATAGTTGACTAGAGTGCTATGCCAGAATATGATGTTATAAAAGACTTTTTTACAGAGTTGGTTTTTAAAAAATACTTTTGTACATTTAACAGCTGTTACCAAATATGTATTGTTACATTGATTGTACATTTTTGTACAACAGTATCCTCAAGACATTTTTTCCTCCCTGTAATAATGACAATCAGAAACATTCCACAGAAGTGACTCTAATAGGATTAATTACATATGAAAAATTCTAAAGATAAAACTAGAAAGTAGCAAAGATTTTAAAAGTACATGTGGAATAAAGGTTTTATGAAGATAAAATTATACCAGGACTATGAAATTTTTTTCATAAATCCTAAAATGTTTGCTATTTCTGAACAAAATGTCTCTGAAAATGACCAAAACAGATCACTATCACAAAAGTCACTACATAATTCAAATTAAATTTATGCACTATCCTAAAATGGGGTGATAGAAGAACTAAATAAGTGCAATATTTTACTTCTTTATGAAATTTGAGATAGTTTTGTAGGCAATATGGAAGACAGTAATAAACTTTACTACATAAACATCTCATACTAGGTATACGTAAACTATGTTGCAAGGCCTTAAGAAATTAAATCACTGTTATCTGTTTTAGATAATAGTAACTTTATTAAATAGTTCCATATAAATAACAATCTATAAATAAAATATTAACATCTATTAGAAGAAATTATTACTTAAAGATATGTTACTGTAAATTCCCTCAAAGATAATTTCCTAATTACTTTTTTATTCTTAAGCCTAAAACGACTACCACAGGATTACTTAAAGCAAGATACTATGGGGCTTCCCTGGTGGCGCAGTGGTTGAGTCCGCCTGCTGATGCAGGGGACATGGGTTTGTGCCCCAGTCCGGAAAGATCCCACATGCCGCAGAGCGGCTAGGCCCGTGAGCCATGGCCGCTGAGCCTGAGCGTCCAGAGCCTGTGCTCCACAACAAGAGAGGCCACAACAGTGAGAGGCCCACGTACCACAAAAAAAAAAAAAAAAAAGATACTATGGAATTGCAATTTGTTTGAAGAGAGCCTATTAAGATGTCAGCAACAGTAACAATGTTCTCAAGTCACAAAACTATATTAAACCTTACATGCATATCAAATCTTAATATAAAAGTAATAAGGGAAATTGTTATTTAGTAGAATTTAGAAGTCTAAGGAAATAATATCTTTAATATAAACTCAGAACTTCAAGTTGAATCAGATGCATGCATATTACTTCTAAGGTTCTTAAATTGGCTGAACTGAGTTTGAATCTTAACACTCACTAGCAACTTAATTTCCATTAGCCTCAGTTTTCAACAGAAAAACAGAGATGGGATATGGACTTATTTTATAGTATTACTATAAAGAGCCCATGAGATAATGTATATAAAAGCATTTAGCACTGAGCTTGGTGCATGGTAAGTGCTCAATAAATGTAAATAAAGTGATATCAGTTGATTTTTTAACCAAGCTTCTTTATATATTAAGACTGAAAATTTTACTAGATGTTTCTAGAACTGCTCAATGGTCAAAGCTATTTTGAATTTCTTTAAATTGCTTTTTATTTTCAGACCTTAATTATAGACATCTGAACTGAGAATCACTTGCTATTACGATAACTTCTAAAAGCCTGACACTTAATTTCAGAAGAAATGGTCCTGAACAACCATGCTTCCAATCAAGAGTATACATATATTCTGGCTGAGACTATATCAAGTATGATACATTTAAGACTATATAGTTATGGCTGTCAGTCAGCTAGTCAAGTTATGACATTAATAAATTATGTATCTAACCAACTCATTATCATGACAAATATTTTGAGAGTAGAACAGCAATAAAGAAAAATACTCTTGGGCTTCCCTGGTGGCGCAGTGGTTGAGAGTCTGCCTGCCGATGCAGGGGACATGGGTTCGTGCCCTGGTCCGGGAAGATCCCACATGCCGTGGAGCGGCTGGGCCCATGAGCCATGGCCGCTGAGCCTGCGCGTCCAGAGCCTGTGCTCCGCAACGGGAGAGGCCACAACAGTGAGAGGCCCGCGTACCGCAAAAAAAGAAAAGAAAAGAAGAAAGAAAAATACTCTTATATTTAAAGAGTGAAACTTATTGCTATTATACATGAATATTATCTAAAGTAAAATTGTAAGATGTACAGTATCCTCTCTTCCTCTCTTTTATTAACTATAAGGCATAATAACTAGATTTAATTTAGGTAAAATTAATTATATCTTTGGTCTGATCTATAATTCTACTGGTATATTAACATATCATAAAATCATAGAATTAGGTATTTACCTAATTCATTCTTATTTATTTCATCTTCAATTAAGAAATTAAGAGAAACTTAGACTTAATAAAGTTTTAAATTTTGAGGTAAGTCATCATTTTGAACAAAGAAAATCTAATTATTGCTATATATTTTAAAATGTAAGCTTCAGCAAAATGAAAAAATTTTAAACGAAGATAAATTTTAGGGAATCCCCTGGAGATTCAGTGGTTAGGACTAGGCACTGTCACTGCTGGGCGCCTGAGTTTGATCCCTGGTAGGGGAACTAGATCCCACAAGCCAAGCAGCCAAAAAAAAGAAAAAAAAAAAAGAGAGAAAAAAATGTGTAATTTTTAATGTATTGACAGATTTATACTTTAAAGTATATTAAGAAAAGAATATTGTACAATATGGTGGGGCAACTGTCACTAGACATTAATGTCTAAGAGAAATTTTATTCATTTATATTAATGTTAAATATAATTAAAAGATGTTTTCTAAACCAAGTTTTTGAAGTTTCATGTGAACTTTGTAAAAGGTCATTTTAATTTAACAAATACTTCAGTGAAATAACCAGAATTTGACCTCCTCTACAAGAAACAGCAGTAAATACTACCATAAAGTTAACACCTACAAGTTCCCTTTAGAGCTGTTTCTCCTTTAAAAAAAAAAAAAAAGGACAGGTCCTAAGTTCCAACAAACTAAACTTATCAATAATGTGGGTTTCATAACTGCAAATTGAGTATTTAATTAGGAACATTATAATGATATTTATAGAACCCTAAGTCTTAAAAATGTTACTCTCAGGTCACCAGTTTCATCATTATTATTTATAATCATACTTCACGCTCCAATATCTGCTTTTACCAGATTAGAAATCAGAACCATAAATGAACTATAAGAGTTTATTCAAAATTTATAACAACTTGCAATGCTAATGACACAAAGTCAATTTGAGTTAAGTGGCTATGGGCTGAAGATATAAAAAACAAAAGTAAAGAATAAAGAATCTAACTCCTTAAAACATTTCCCAGCATTTTTATTTCCTTTATGAAAACTAAGACATTCCTCCTCTGCACAGCAATACCTATTATATATCAGAGGAGCCTCAAAGGCACTATTATAATTCTATAACCACTCGAAGTCATACACATGCCCAATAAAATTCCTGAATTAAGTAATCTTACTCCACATTTTAAAAGATTCAGTAAAGATTAGGAAGACTAAAGGCTCACAAAAGAAGAAAGGAAACTGGGATAGCATAACTGGGATGGGAGGAGGGGAGGAGAATATGACAAGAAGAAACAGACAACAGTAAAGAAAAAAATGTTGCAATCAAGAGACAGAGGACTGGCCTGCCTTTGAATATCACTCCAGCTACATCTTAGTTCTTGGTCTTCATCCACTGTCAACAGCCATTCTGGCTGCATTTCTGAACTGGGCTCTCATGGAGGTGATACATTCACCAGCCATCTTTAGGAAGGTAAATGATTAATTGCACTGTTTTCCCACTGCTGCAAGGACAATGAAACGGAAAGTAAACTTGTGCACCTCATTTCATAACTAGTTGTAATTTTCCACACAACAATAAACAGAAACATATACTGTAAGTTTATAAGGCTGGTTTCTTTTTTGCTTTGGTGTGTGTGTGTGTGTGTGTGTGTGTGTGTGTGTGTGTATGCGCGTGCGTGTGTGTGTGTGTGTGTGTGTGTGTGTGTGGTGTCTGTCTGTGTGCTTTCATCAAGACAGTTAATACAAAAATCCCAATCTCCAAATCATTATCAAGTTGACAATGATCTTCTAACCACAAATATTTTAAAAACATGGAATGCTTATAGCTTTTTTCTGAACATCCCTTTTAATTAGAAATATTTAAATTGATCTAATAAAATTATAAATAAAGAAAAAGCAATGCTATTTAGAATTCTGATTTCCAAATATGAAAATCACCAGCAGGAAAATTAAATGTCTAACCTTATATGATTATCTCTAAAGCCTACAAAGAAATTCTATTTTGAGATCTCCTACCCAAGATACAACACAGGGTGATTTTGATACCAAAGGTCTAAAATAAAGGATCATGGCAACTTTATTTCTTTGCTTTTGCAAATAACAAAAAAGAAGAGGGAAAACACACTTTTGTGTGTTAGTGTTGTTGAGTTTAGTTAAATTCACTTCCAAAACACCTCAAGAAATGAGTAATTTTATAAAGATAGTTCTAAAATGGAAAAGTACCAAGTTGGTGTTTTGGGAAAGTCATGTAAAGAAGTTGAGCACAAAGATTAAAGCGAAATTATTACAGGTATATTTCTTAACCCACCTGCTATCAGGTCATCAAGAGTGTCGGTAAGCGTCTGGGCTGGAGTTGCAACCATTAGTCCATCTGGTTCTTGCACTAACAGCCCCTGATCGTGTCCAGTAATAGCAATCTGAGGCTGTCCTATAATCTGATGATTACCTGATACTTTCTGAAGTTCAAGAGAATTTGTCCCATTAGAACCTAATTCACTGGAAAAGTTACACTGTGGAGACGATAAAGGCTGGACTGGGACAAAATCAATTTGTTCTGCCGATGGTGGAGACTGTTGCTCATCAACAACATCATTATCTTTAAATAAGATTGTGTCAACCTGAGGTAACTCTGAAAAGTGATCCTCTGGGAGACTACCATCTCCTTCCCCTTCTGGGAAGACTCCTCTATGAGAGCACTGCTGGTGTGGAGATACTGTGTCTTTCTGACCTTTGGTTTCCAAGTATTCTTTGGTAAATTGCTGCTGTGTTTTCATCTGCAACTGCCTTTCCACTTTCTGCAGTTCTTTCAGTATTTTCTTCTTCTTCTGGACTTGCTCTTCTCTGTTCTTTTTAAGTTCTTCTATCTTATCTTTGTTCAGAGGTTCACCTTGAATTAACTCCAATGACTTAAGCTGTGCTTTTTCAATAGCACTAATTCTTTGTCCCAGTTCATTCAGTTTTCCTTCAGTCTCCTCTACTATGCACTCCAAAGGCTGGTATGGGTGAAAAGGTGGCAGTACGTCCTGATCTGCTACCTGCAGGGAACTGGACTTCTGCTTGGATGTACCTAAGCACATGAAAAATGTTTGAAAATGTGCCATGCTAAAAAAAAAAAAAAAAAAAAAAAAAAAAAAAAACAAAAAAAAATCCCAGCCCTCCCTCCACCCCCCACCACATACTTCCCTCCCAAAACCCATATAACTAATGCTATAGAATGAATGTTCAGATTCATACCAGTTGTAGGTAGATTAAAGACCAGACTCATCTATTTTACACAGCACAAACAGGGATGTTGCCAATTCAAAAAATGTGACTTTTTCAATTAAAAAAATCTAATATTTATAGGATTGGATGATTTTGGAAAACACAGGATTAGGGAGAAAAGGAAATCAAAGAGGAAAGAACCTCAAAATTCTGCTTATTTAATTGGACTTTTTAAAGAACATCAAATCTAAAGCAGTATCAAAATAAAGTTGAGGGTATCATTAATGTTGGCTTGACTGCCCAATTGTTCTTTTTACAATATTAGTACAGGTTACTGCAAGAAACTGTAACTTGTAGATCAAAGTAGGGAAAAGTGTCTTTCAAACTGCCAAAATATTTCTTTATTATATTAAAATATAATTTGAAATCAATTTTTAAGATATAACCTTCTAAAATTTTTCATTAATGAAGTCTTAAACACTTCTGTACCTGAACACTGTATTAAACATATCACAAAGGACAATTATTCTGAGTTTAAATAAACTCTTCACGTAAAAGTCTATGAGAGAAACAATGAATAATACCTAGGAGAAAATTAGACTTCCCATATAGGATTACTCATATTGACAGTGTATGTTAAAAATGAAGTAACTATATATTAATTTAAGGTTTTCGATCACACTTAAATTAATTTACTACCCTCATGGCAAAATAATTATCAATATTAACAATCTTAACATCTGGGCATAAAGTGGAGGAAACATATAATAACTACTTAGAGGCAAATTCAAGGCTTAATCTTGTTTAGGAAGAACTGAGACTATTCAGCAATAAAAAGGAACCACTGATATAGCCTACAACGTGGATGAACCTTGAAAACATTATGCTAAGTGAAAGAACCCAGACACAAAAGACCACATATCGTACAATTCCATTTATAACAGATCTATAGAGAAAAGGCAAATCTATAGAGACAGAAAGGAAAATACTGGTTGCCTGGATTATAGTGGTAAGAATGAGGATTGATCACAAACAGGCATGAGAGATTTTTTTGGAGTGATGGATCCAAAACTTAATGGAGGTGATGGTTATGCAATTATGTAAATTTTCTAAAAGCCATTGTATTGTACATTTAAAATGAGTGAACTTTTATGGTGTGTAAACTAAACAACAACAAAACTGTTTAAAAAAAACTGGGGGGCTTCCCTGGTGGCACAGTGGTTGAGAGTCCACCTGCCAATGCAGGGGACGCGGGTTTGTGCCCCGGTCCGGGAGGATCCCACATGCCGCGGAGCGGCTGGGCCTGTGAGCCATGGCCACTGAGCCTGTGCGTCTGGAGCCTGTACTCCGCAACGGGAGAGGCCACAGCAGTGAGAGGCCCGCGTACCGCCAAAAAACAAAAACAAAAACTGGGTAAAAAACAGTTGTCTATTCTTAAGAACTGTAGTCAATATATATGAATAACATATGTAACTTCAGATTTAAAAATAAGCTCATCCAATGCATTCAAAATGATTCTTAGGTCCAAAGGAAAAAAATAATCCATTAGATGTTTAAATGCTCAGAACTGCAAGAGGGTGACAAAACTACTGGACCAAAAAATAAGAGATTTCACTGCTTTTTTTGCTAGAATAGGAGAACTCAAAACTGCAGGTAGCTCAAATATTTGCAACACGTTATTATCAAAAAAAGTCTAACAGGTTTTCCCTGAGATACTGTCTTTAACAAGGTCAGACAACCACAGTTCCAAAATCACTGCAATTAAAGACTTAGTTATTATTATTCTTAACACTAATGAATGTTTTATTTTATTTATTTTTAACATCTTTATTGGAGTATAATTGCTTTACAATGGTGTGTCAGTTTCTGCTTTACAACAAAGTGAACCAGCCATACACATACATATGTTCCCATATCTCTTCCCTCTTGCATCTCCCTCCCTTCCACCCTCCCTATCCCACCCCTCTAGGTGGTCACAAACCACCGAGCTGATCTCCCTGTGCTATGCAGCTGCCTCCCACTAGCTATCTATTTTACGTTTGGTAGTGTATATATGTCCATACCACTCTCTCACTTTGTCACAGCTTACCCTTCCCCCTCCCCATATCCTCAAGCCCATTCTCTAGTAGGTCTGTGTCTTTATTCCCGTCTTACCCCTAGGTTCTTCATGACCTTTTTTTTTTTCTCTTTAGACTCCATATATGTGTGTTAGCATACGGTATTTGTTTTTCTATTTCTGACTTACTTCACTGTTTTAGAGACACCTCACTACAAATATCTCAATTTCATTTCTTTTTATGGCTGAGTAATATTCCATTGTATATATGTGTCACATCTTCTTTATCCCTTCATCTGATGATGGACACTTAGGTTGCTTTCATGTCCTGGCTATTGTAAATAGAGCTGCAATGATTAGTTAGTCATTTTTTAAAGGCAAAATTCAGCAAAATGTATTGTCCATATTCAATTTTATACTTCTGAGCAAAGTGGTGGGAACAGACTCTATCCTTTCAGAGCAAAAGCCATTAGTTTGTGAGATAATTTTATAACTATTTCCGCAAGATCATATAGGAAATAATAGCTTGCTTTACTTGTTCAAAGTACCTAATGACAATCATTGGTAGGAAAAGGGAGTTTAACTGCCACAAATAGCAATGTATAAATCTGCGAGCCCAGCAAGGAAATTTTCAGTTGTGTAACAAATTCAATGACATCAGCAGAGTAAATTCAGAAGTTCTGCAAAGAAGTTCTGAATGCTCCTCCAACATTATTTTAAAACACCCTTGTATAGTTTTTGTATTTTGTAATTTGTATTTCATAATTTGTATTTAAGATTAAAAAAATTAGGTAAGAGTTCAACACTAATCAGACTGGTAATTAATTATGACCACATTGGACATTCACAGATTTAAAATCTTATAATAGTAAGATAATCCAAAATAAGGCTAGAATTTTGAGGATAATAATAGAGAGAAATGGCTGTATCTTGTTAACAAATAAAATACAAAAAGCTTAGAGCACAAGATTACGAAGAGTAACTTATTTAACTGAACACAGAGACAAAAAGCCCAAAATATATGTAGCAGGAAGAACAGAGGATGGTGAAAGTAATGCACAAAAAGCAGTTCTTCCCCAAATAGACAATGACTGAGTATCTGTATCCATGGAGTTAGTGGGATTGCCTAGATACACATCAAAGCACTAATACAGGCTACAACATCATGACTAAGCCATGTTGGTAAAAAACAAATGTCACCTAATTATTCCTAGAAGCTGAAGAAACAACTTCATTTTGGGGAAAAGTAGAGAATGTTAACAAGTGTCCTTTTAGCAACAAAATTTTCATTCTCTAGGAAGGTAGTAGTATAAGACACCAGAATATAAAAGAGTTCCATCTTCCTCAGACATCGCCCACTGTCAGATAGAAATATATAAATCTATTCATTGTCTACTCATTGGGAGCATTGAGTGATATCATAAATTAATATTTAGGAACACAGGTAAAGTTACTATCTTATCTCTTTGGTTTGGTTACTACCCTACTTCCTCAATTTTCACTTTTCCTCCATTAATTAAAAAAGTTTGCAACAGGAAACCACGATATACAGACAGCTTAGAACATGGCCTTTATTTTTTTATGGGCAGTGAGGAAATGAGGTGGACATAAGCAGTTATATGTTAAAAGACATTATTAAATTTGGACATATATAAATCCACATAAGCATGATTACTAATGGAAATTTACTAAACTAGAGAATATTAGTAGTAAAATTTCCAGAGAAACACTCAGCCTCATTCACTGTACATATAATTTTTCTATACAATTTTAATGATTTGATATTAAAATGAGAACTTTTCATGTTACCTACTCCAATAAACAACTCTGGGATATAAAGCATCATGTTAACCTAATGCTTACTTTACATTTATAGTTCTGTTTTCACTCTGTTCCCCAGCAGTCTAAAACAGTACTTCCTTTTTTTTTTTTTGCGATACGCAGGCCTCTCACTGTTGTGACCTCTCCCGTTGCGGAGCACAGGCTCCGGATGCGCAGGCTCAGCGGCCATGGCTCACTGCTAGCTGCTCCACGGCATGTGGGATCTTCCTGGACCGGGGCACGAACCCGGCAGGCGGACTCTCAACCACTGTGCCACCAGGGAAGCCCTAAAATAGTACTTCTTGATTAAGTTCTTAAACATCCCCTTTAATCACAATGTCGCTCTTCTTAAAAATTCTTGGGCTTCCCTGGTGGCGCAGTGGTTGAGAATCTGCCTGCCAATGCAGGGCACACGGGTTCGAGCCCTGGTCTGGGAAGATCCCACATGCCACGGAGCAACTAAGCCCGTGCGCCACAACTACTGAGCCTGCGTGTCTGGAGCCTGGGCTCCGCAACAAGAGAGGACGCAACAGTGAGAGGCCCGCGCACCACAATGAAGAGTGGCCCCCGCTTGCCGCAACTACAGAAAGCCATCACACAGAAACAAAGACCCAACACAGCCAAAAAAAAAAAAAAAAAGCACCAACATTAAAAAAAAATTCTTAATAATTTTCGTTTGCCTTCAGAATAATCTATACTCTTAGCCTGGCATTTATTAATTTATTCAACAAATATTTAACATCTAGTACAAGCAAGCCATAGTGGACCATACAAAGACGAGCAACCTAAACCCTGCCCTCGAGGAGCTTACAGTCTAAAAGGGGAGATAAAAATGTACAAATCCAAATAAAAGGATAAAGCCAAGCATTGGCAGATATGGAAATGGGATGGGGGCGTATAATATAGTAACCCTTAAACATTGCTGCTGGGAATGTAAACTGCTATAGCATTCTAAAGAGTGCATTCACAGTACTTTGTCAGATAAACATTACGCATTCCTATGACAGGCAATTCTGCTCCTGAGTTTATCCCAGAGAAATTCTCATACAGATCCATAAGGGGACTGTACCAGAATTTTCACCACAGCATTGTCTGTGGTGGTGGGGAATGAGAGACAATCTGGGTACCCATCACTGAGAGAAAGGACAAGTAAAAAATAGAGGATATACAGGATGAAACACTATGTATGCTGCAGGTAGAAACAATCTAGAGGTAGACATATGGATAGATCTTAAAAACAGTGTTGGTGAAAAAAGTAAAAAACAAAACAGGATCTATAGCATAATACCATTTATGTAAATTTAAAAATATATAAAGTAGTAAACATTTTATAAGAACTTGTAAGAGCAAAAGAATCTGCAAATCAAACACATTAGAATGACTGCCTAAGGGGAAGTATGGGCATGGAAAGAGGGATAAAAAGGAACAAAGTAAAACAAGAGCAGAGCCATGATGACAAAGTCCAGGAATTAAGTATGATTAACTCAACCTTCCACACTTGAAGCCCAAAGGGGAGGTGAAGAAGGTGCAGGAGTGACCAGAGCCAGAAGTAAGATCCAATAAAGTGCTATAGGAGTTCAGAGAAGAGAAATGACTCCTCAAGAGGGTCTTGAGGTGCACACAAAAGATGTGTATTGTTTATCTTGACATCATTTTAATGCTTTGCAACGGATTAGTTAGTTCTAAGCTATACAACTACAGAGAATAATCAGAATCGTATTTTAGGATCTCTGTAGAATCAGTTACTACATATGAATTAGATGCAACAAGTGGCTTCAATCAACAAATTTATTTACAATATTAAATTTGGAAAGACAAAGGTTTGATATTACTTATGTATCCTTTCCCATGTGAATATTCATAACTATAGATGATAAAGCTAAACAATGCTAGAAAACTGAGCATATCACTCTTACCTAGTTTCACATTTTGTTTATAAAGGTGATTCTGAGGTCTCTGTGAAATGCCAGCTAGGATCTAAAATCCTTGAAAACTAACAATGCATAAGTGAGATTAGTTGCCTAAATCAGGAGAATATGAGTCAAGATGGAAGGAGCCTGGATGAATGGTGCACATGAAAGAAAAGAATGTTACAGCAGGATATATAAGAAACACCTGGGTAAGATTTATGGGCATGAATATATTTTAAAAGGATGCAGATATGAATAAAGACTTCAGATAGGAGTAAAATGTTATAAACTTGAAAAGATGATTGCTAGAATAGGAAGAGAGTCCTAGAGAGTAAGAATCCTTCCTCCGTCCCTAGCCACATATGCAATGCAGGTATAATCTATGGACTTAGGGAAAAAAAAAGCAAAACGGTCAAACAGCAATTTCACCACTCAAAGGAACTTCTCTAGCTACATAAATGAGAAATTTTAAGAAAAAGCCACTTTAAGGAGAAAATAATATATATTTAATAATTTAAGATAGATCTTTCTATCTACCCAGGTGATTCAATGTGTACTTTTACATCATCAACTGATTTTTCCTAATTTACAGTGATAAAATATTCTATTATGCACACGATTTATATCAATACTAACATGAAATCTTAACGCAATGCATTATCAGCTTGCTCCCACATAAATAAATGTTGGGTTGGCAACACCACTTGGCATCTGGCAACAGCAAGTGCCAAGTGTCTAGATACAAGTGTTAATTTTTTCCTTCCCTAATAATTTAGTAAAATGAAAGATTCCTTAAAAGGTTAGTTCATTTTGACACTATTCAGTAAGTAATAAAACATCAGGGACTTCCCTGGTGGTGCAGTGGTTAGGAGTCCACCTGCCAGTGCAGGGGACACAGGTTCAAGCCCTGTTCTAGGAGGATCCCACACGCTGCAGAGCAACTGAGCTCGTGCGCCACAACTACTGAGCCTGCGTGCCACAACTACTGAAGCCCATGGGCCTAGAGCCCGTGCTCTGCAATGGGAGAGGCTGCCACAATGAGAGGCCCGTGCGCCGCAGCGAGGAGTGGCCCCCGCTCGCTGCAACTAGAGAAAGCCTGCACGCAGCAACAAAGACCCAACACAGCCAAAAATAAATAAATAAATTTATTAAAAAAACAAAAAACATCAAAGTGAAGAAAATAAGTAGCTACTCAGTATAAGAAGGTATTTCAGTAAGCAAAAATATGATTACTCACTTGAGTATCAACTTAAAAAGTCACTACCCAAACATTTCAGTTGACTTACATATTAAATTTAAATTTAAAATGTTTTACTTCCTTTCTGCATATACTCTGTGTCCTTCCTAGCTTATTTCTTGGTTATTCTGTGGCTCTGTGTTAATAAATATTTTTTAAATGATTTCTTATTTAGTACTGAATTTCCCTAGCCAAAGTTACTACAGTCCTCTATAGGATACAGCCAAACAAAGAGCAACAAAAACAGAGGCATTTAGGTTTAAATATTTTACTAAAGGCTGTTAGCCAGTTAGGATACTCAGATTCCTTAACAAGTACATGCTTAATTTGTTTTTTATTTCTTAAGACTAAAAATAGCAGTCTTCATTTTCTGAAGTTTGAATAGCTAGGTGTCCAATGGAAAACTGCTAGAATTAGCTTAAGTCAGAGAGACTACAGGTATTTTATCTCTGAAATTAATAGTTCAGAAATGAAGTAATCCTTGGTGAAGGCCCACAATACTCTAAAATTATTAAAATTGACATTAATTTGAAAGAAGCTTATGTTTGCTGCTGTATAGTCACTCCTTACCAACTTCACTTAAAGCTGTGTTAAAGATACAAATACATACTTATACACTTCACTGTGATTTCAAAAATTTAGAACTTCATTGTCATATAATGAATGAAATACGCTTATACATTTGTTTTACATATAATAGTTTTTCATACTTTACATATTACCTATTTTCTTTATTTCAGAGAACTCAGGTAGGACAACCACATACATTATTATCAAGTGAAGGTACTTTATATCTACAAATGAAAATACAGCAGAAAAATAACAGAGCTCATAAACTTGAGTCCTTTAAATAATGTATACACCTTGATATTCACTTGGATATTATTCATATACTTTTTTATAGTTATTTGTCCATGTTCACATATTGACAGAGGTTAAGCCATATATTCAGCATTATATGAAAGAAACTAAATGTAATTCTTAAACTTCTCACTCACCAAACTGAATCAACACTACTAAGACTTGACAGCAAACATATTTTCATTCCTCATATTACTGTTTAGCTAAAGAATTGTGAAATGAAAAATGAACGCCTGATAAATTTTTGCTACTTTAATATAATTTGCTACTTTAATATAATGAAGAACTTGGTATATGCTTAAGTATTTTTGCCTACGCCAGATGAAAACGACACCTAGAAGTATGTTAGCATTTTAAGAAATCATTTTTCCTAGTAGTTGTGCCTTTTCTATTTTAAATAATATGTAAGATGATTTGTCAGAATTACCTACCTCAATTCTGGATACACAGTAACTGTGTACCATTAAAGTACCTTTATGAATTCATACTTTAGGTGATAAAATACCCATTTTAAGGAAAATAATTCAAGAACTAACCTTTTTGTACTCCTAAAACAGCAGGAGAGTTCTCCTGTAAAGTTCTGTCAGGTTCCTGTGGAGGTACAACCATGGCGAGTGTATGCATTGGTACACGTGGAACCTAGAAAGTCAACTCAGAAAAAAAGAATCTCAGACCAAAGAATAAAATAAAGGTCCATAAATGAAACAGAGATCCTGTTTTAGATTTTCTTCGTATACCACCAAATTAACTTTTTTTGTTTCTTTAAAAGAAGAAGAAGGAGGAGGAGAAGGAGAAGAAAAGGAGAAGCAGCAGCAGCATTGTTCACCAAGCAGTAATTTCTGAGAATACTGATTGGGCAAATTCAGGCATTCTACAAACAGTCAATGATAAGCTAAATGGAATTAATATCACTCTCTTGTTACGGAGAAATCCTTGCTGGTTTCAGTTATAGCTAGGAGTATAAGTCACATATTCAACTGGCCAATTTACCCTTGTTCAAATTCTATATGGGTCAAAAGAAAAAAATCCAACACATTTCCTGAATTGGTGTATTTCAGTAGTTCTCAGAATAACTTTGTAGAAAACAATTTCTGATTTCACTGAACTTTGTATACTTAGTATACTCTCTATATTCTCTCCGTATTTTTAGGTAGGTTTAAAAAATTAATGAATTTTTGGTGCACATATCCTGGTTTACCCACACCTTCCTGGATGACAAAAGTAACTATCTCTAGGATAATTAATATTGTCTTGGGAGGTATTAAGGGAAAATCATTCTCTTGGTTCAAGATCATGCTTAATGTATTCATAAAAAACCAAACAACCTTAAAGACCTAGTTGTAATAAAAGGACAACTTGGAATACTTATATTTATATTTGGTATTAAGTGTTTCTTTTTTTTTTCTTTTTTTTTTTGCAGTACACGGGCCTCTCACTGTTGTGGCCTCTCCCATTGTGGAGCACAGGCTCCGGATGCACAGGCTCAGCGGCCATGGCTCACGGGCCCAGCCGCTCCACGACATGTGGGATCTTCCCGGACCGGGGCACGAACCCGTGTCCCCTGCGTCGGCAGGTGGACTCTCAACCACTGCGCCACCAGGGAAGCCCTGTGTTTCTTTTTAAACACTATTTTCAGTAAATAAGACAATGAAAAACATTTCCATGTACTTTTGAAGAAAATCTTAAAGAATTTAGGACCAGGTTTATTCAAATTTAAAAGAGAAATAAGCTGGACTTCCCTGGTGGCACAGTAGTTAAAAATCCGCCTGCCAATGCAGGGGACACAGGTTTGAGCACTGGTCTGGGAAGATCCCACATGCCACAGAGCAACTAAGCCCGTGTGCCACAGCTACTGTGCCTGTGCTCTAGAGCCCGTGAGCCACAACTACTGAAGCCCACGCGCCTAGAGCCTGTGCTCCACAACGAGAGAAGCCACTGCAATGAGAAGCCCGCACACCACAATGAGAAGCCCGCACACCGCAATGAGAAGCCCGCACACGGCAACGAAGAGTAGCCCCCACTCGCGGCAACTAGAGAAAGCCCGGGTGCAGCAACAGAGACCCAACGCAGACATAAATAAATAAATAAATTTATAAAAGAAAAAAAAAGAGAGAGAGAAATAAGCCCATTTTACTAAAGGCTAATTTTAAACAAAAACTCCCAATTTGAAGAATATTTATATTTACAAATAAGCTCTGTTTTACATTACCTGAGATTGATCTTGACAAGGTGGGGTAAGCTGAGACACATCCGTGGTAGGAACTGACAGAACATTGTTTGGATAATCCAATAGATAAGAAACAACATTAGTATGGCCACCTTTTGCAGCTTCAATGAGCATTGTTGAGCCATCCTGAGAAAAATTGACACCATAATTAATTATTTATCAATTTCTTTTTATAATATGATTACTAAACACATTTAGTTTCTTAGCAGCTCATATAAAATCAAAACTCATTTAAAGAGTAATGAATAATAATAATAAATATTAAGTACTAAAATATTTGAAATATATTTTAATAATGATGTATATATTATTTACTTATATTGAAGTAGAATACCTTGAGACGATGAGTAGGGTCAGCCCCGTGAGCCAAGAGTAGCTCCACAACTGCCAGGTGACCTCCTGCACATGCCAACGACACTACTGTATGATCGTTATTGGCTGTAGCCCTATTCACATTGGCACCTTCAAAGAAAAATAAACAGCAATCTTAGCAAAGCCAGTTCAGACAATATGATTTTAAAAACTTTTTTGAAGTACAACATAGATACAAAAAAGTGCACAAATCATAAGTGTATAGTTTGAAAATTTTTCACAAAGTGAACACACTTGTGTGACCAGCACCCAGATCAAGAAACAGAACATTATCCACATACCAGAAGCCCCACTTTGTGCACCTTTTCAGTCACTACCCCGCCCTCCAATGGTAACTACTATCCTGACTTCCAAACTGGTTTTAGTTTTTGAACTTTATATGAATGAAATCATACAGTGTACTCTTTTGTGCCTGGCTTCTTTCGCTCAATATAATATTTTTGAGATTCATCCACATTGCTGTGCATAGTTGTAGTTCGTTCATTCAATATCACTTCTAAAATGAAAAATCTAGATTAATAAATATATACAGGTTAATGTGAGCACCAAATAATACCATTGTATGTAACTCTTCAAAGACATTTTTGATCTACTTCTAAAATGTGGCAGTATAGCCAGGTCTCAAAGTAGAGAAAACAGATTTTTTTAAACAATATTTACGAGAAATATAATTCTTCCTATTGTATATTTTAAGGGCCAGAGAGACCTGGATATGAAGAGAAGACAAAAGATTATCCACATACGTTATCAGAAAGGCTATTTAGTAAGTTGTTCAATAGCTTTGTACAATATGACCAAAAAGAAGTCTAAATGCAAAATCTTTTCTTAGCCTCTTTTTTTGGTAAATTAATTTTGATTCACAGGAAAAAAGGCCTCTCATTTTTAGTTCAACTACCTTTTACAATCCCAAGGACTCAACTAGATAGTTAAGACTATAGCAATGGGGAACTGGTGGTGCAATGGATAAGACTCCATGCTCCCAATGCAGGGGGCCTGGGTTTGACTCCTGGTCAGGGAACTAGATCCCACATGCACGATGCAACTAAGAGTTCACATGCCACAACTAAAGAGCTGGTGAGCTGCAACTAAGGAGCTCGCCTGCCGCAACTAAGACGCAGTGCAACCAAAAAAAAAAAAAAAAAAAAAGGACTATAGCAATGTTCATTCTTCCTTCTTCCTTAATTCAACTTATTTTATGAAAGGAATAATTAACCTAGGGGAAACTACTATTTATTTAATCTTCAAAAAGACCCAGCTGAACCTAATCCTAACTTGTATTAAAGTACCTTTGGGAAAGGCGAGGCACACCAATAAACATCCTTACATTAGCAACATAAGATTATTTTTAAAGTTGTTAATAATAAATTTAGTTGGGATTGTTTAGCACTTACTACAGCCTAGAAAGGCTATAATCAATGTGTTCTTATTCTTGACAAGCCTGATTATATGCTTAGCAGGGTAGTTGATGGTATGATTAGGTAACTTCTTTAGGAAAGGAGCATGAGAGAACTCTAAAGGTTATCCATCTGTTTATTACTTCTGCATGGTTGAAGTAAATAGCTTTTACAGACTAAGTTATAACATTATATAAGATATGCCTTACTTGGTAGCAAAATGTGATGTGAAGAAAAAAGGCCTACTTTTATCCAATTAAAGAAGAAAGCAAGTATATTTAAAATGATAAAATCTTACACTGCATCCTTAATGGTACAAAATGTCAGAATTCTACTGGAATATACGATAGATATAAAATGTTTATTTGAATAACGTGACAACATTTGAGTGGATCTTCCTTACAGTTTAACATCCTAACCTAAGATTTTTTTAATCAGATGCCAGAGTACCTCGAACACTACACAGAGTGTAGTGAACCAAAAGAAATTGCTGCTATTACCATCTTTGACATATACAGTGACAATTTTATATGGTTCAACATAAACTGAGTTCAGCAGCATTTCACTTTTGTATAGTAAATAGTCTTGAACTACCTCTTATCCATCATTTGAACTTCTTTGCCTAAATATATTCTAATAATAGAATCTCTAGAGGAATATAAAAATGATAAATAACACCCTTGTGTACTTGGTTGATTTAACTGTACCATAAACAACAGTAGCAGACTTTCTCTCCTCCACCCTTCCCCATTTCCAGCAGAACTGCCTTAAGTGCTGAATGATACTGTATCTACTAAATATAGCTGGATACTTTACCTTTGACATTTCCAACTTTGGGGAGTAACCATATACTCTTTGGTTGATGAAAACTTCAAACTCAAAACTAATAAACAGGACTTCCCTGGTGGTCCAGTGGTTAAGAATCTGCCTTCCAATGCAGGGGACACGGGTTCGATCCCTGATCAGGGAGTTGGGATCCCCCATGCCGCGGGGCAACTAGGCCCCTGTGCCACAACTACTGAGCTCGCGAGCCTCAACTAGAGCCCACGCGCCACAAACTACAAAGCCCACGTGCCCTGGAGCCTTCACGCCACAACTAGAGAGAGAGAAAAAAAATCCCACACACGGCATGGAAAGATCCCGCATGCCTCAACAAAGATCCCGTGTGCCGCAACTAAGACCCAATGCAGCCAAAAAAAAAAAAAAAAAAAAACTAATAAAGATCCCAGCAAAGTACCTTATGAACCCTAATAAAATACAGCAACAAAAGACTGGAATATAATACTTATACTATAGGTAAAGTAGCTTTAACAGAAATTGCAACAGTTTAGGAACTTTTTTCAGAAGTTGTACCTTCTTGGAAATGCACACTTGTACTTTCTTTACCTTTGCTAATAAGAAACTGCACGGTGCACAAATGGCCAGCTCTCGCAGCTTTCATCAAAGGTGTTCTTCCACCTTCAGATTCATGTTCCTAGTAAAGAAACATAAAATAATCCATCAGTGCCAATTCATTAACCATCTATTTTTAACACTTAGTATCAATGACATAAGAAATAATGAAGATTTAATACTTACTCAATGCAGTCACTTATGTTACCTACCTCAATTCCTCCAAAATACAGGATTAATTTCAGTCCACATTAGATGGTGTAACTTTCTAAGAGCACGTTCAGTTTTACATACCAAACAATAAACATTAAGGATAAGACTTATGTTTAGTTTGATCCCCACAGAGAAGTAACTGCATTTTTCTAATACTAAGGTTAAAAAGATACTTCCCTAACTATTCACCTGAACTATGAAAAAGGAACCTTAATTTTGTGAGGTGATTTTGAGGATCTCATCATATCAGAAGCCAATAAGAGATCTATCAAAGGAGAGAAACCAATCTCTGAAGAAAAACACTATGGTATTTCAGGAGTAAAGGGAAAAGGAAAAAGAAAAACATACAAATGAGCTGATTATTTTTTAGAGTAGAAATTAAATGCTTGAATAGTCAAAGGCAAAAGAAGCAGTCTTACAAAAGTAGGAAGACTGTTATTCTTCCTAGCAAGTTTGTCCGCAAGAGGAATGAATGAGAAAACAGCTTCTCAAGCATCCTAATATCAAATGCCACTAAAAAAAGCTTGTTTGTATGGTAAGTAGTACTGCCTGTTGGGAGTACTGTGAACTCTTACTACATTCATCTAAGTATTAAAATGTAGCTGACACATAGCTTTTACAAAAAGTTCTCTCAACTATCCCCTCTTTCACTATGTATGCAAACATTAATTTCTGTTGTTCTGGTCCTCTTTTGTTACTAAGAAAAACTTGATAAAGAACGGTGATTTCTTCTTATATAACTATATCTCACTACAACTTTGGCAAACTAACAATAAGAACAGATTGTCAACCCAAATGAAACTTTAAACTGGACTGCAGTGACAGGAATTCCACTCTAAAAGAAGTTTTTTTCTTTTATCTTGATAGTGTAGAATTCTCAACCTCCTAGTTTATGTTTTGATTTTTGTTATGTATATTGATTAGACAACAATCTTTATTAACTCTAAGGTATGGAGGATGAATAACTATAGATAATGCCAACAAGATTTGGCTTTAGAATGAATTTTGAACTTATATTCAAATGTAGGTAAATCTAATATTCTGGCAATTTACTTCAAACAAAACGGAATACACATCATGAAGATGTGTAGGTCTTACTCAGAAAGACCTAGAAAGTTGTGTCAACACACTACATGCTGGCATTGTTGTATCAACTACACACTGGAAAGAAATTGCTCCTTTAGCAACTGCTATTTCCCCTCCTGTCTCAGGACCTTTATGCCTAAGCTGCTCTCTCTTTCCTGTAACACTTCTTTGTTAGCTCCTTTTCATCCTTGACTGTCTCAAGTTAAGTGTTATTTGCTCAAGGAAGACCTTCCTGAACCTTCTTGACTAGATCACTTTTCCTACTATTGACTTACAGTTCTACGAACTGCTCTTTCATAAGTTCCAATCACATATTAGTTTGGGTAACTATTTGGGTAACATGTCCACCATTCAAGTATAAGCTTCATGAGAAAAGCAATCATGTCCACTTTTGCTTATCGTTATATACCTAATGTCTAAAACAATGAAGTACTTGAACACCGTTTACCAAGAAGGAACCTAAGCACATCTGACTCTCAAGTCTTCCCTTTCATAGAAATGAAGTTTGAAGTTTAAATTTTCTACTAGGTAAATACGAGAAAGAGAAGTTAATTTTAAGACTGGTAGCTATACTTAGAGTAAGACATTCATTACCTTCATTTGATAATACATTATTACTAGATCATGGGTGGGCAATACTAATGTCACTTTTCCTTTTTTTTTCTTTCTTATCTCTTAAGCCTGGCAGTGACACCCATCAATGCAACTAGTAGTGGCAAAGACAAAAGATTCTGAAAGCCCTGTTTAGAATAAACTTTTAAAGTAACTTTTAAAGTAACTTTAAAAATACTTGTCAGTTCTGTATATTTAAAATATTCCCATAGCTGTTAAAAATAAGAAATCAGAAGGTATAATCTCAAGATGCTCACTCCAAGTGAAATTTCAAAATTCAACATACTAATAAAATTTTGGAAATAAAAGGTGTTAAAAGCTGCCTATTTTATTTTCCTCCCTATAAATTCATTTCTTTGGTTCTGAACAATGTTTGAGGAAACAGTTGATAACACTACAACTTTATAATGTATTATAATATATCTTGTCCTAAAATTAATAATGTATATCCCACAACACATATCATTTGCCCCAAAATATCTGACCACTGAATCCTTTTAGGATAGGAATCAAATTTGTCTATACAGTTGACCCTTGAATAACATCGGTTTAAACTGCGTAGGTCCATTTATATGTTGATACCTAAGTTCTACACTACACGATCACAAGGGTGCAGAATCCCACACAACATAGGTAGATGTGGTTATATGCGGATTTTCCACTGCACAGGTGGACATCCCACCCCCCACGTTGTTCAAGGATCAACTGGCTACTTACTTATGAATGTTGGATTTATTATTTCAGCCAATATTTGTTCAATATCAATAAAATTTTAGGATACAAATTATGATTATTTCCTTCATAAACACAGAAAATTATTTTTCAAGGCTACAAACTTAGGTATTGTGCAATTTAACCTTTTTTCTTTCTTCTTTTTGGAGAACAGCTAGAATAATATAGGGATTATCTATTCCTTGAACATTTGGTAAAACTCACCTATAAATCCATCTGGGATCCTCTTACCTTCATTAGATGGATGGTTTTGAACTACTGACTCAGTTGGTGAAATGGTTATTGTTTTACTGAGGTATACGATTCTAGAAACTTTTATTTTTGGGCCACGAAGCGAGGCTTGTGGGATCTTAGTTCCTCAACCAGGGATTGAACCTGAACCCTCGGCAGTGAAAGCACAGAGTCCTAACCACTGGACCGCCAGGGAATCCCCTTGAATCATTTTTGATAATTTATATTTATAGAAAAAAATCAGTATTCATCTAAGTATTCAAACTGATTGTTCATATTGCCTTATAAATTTTAAAGTTCTCTACTATATCATATAGTTATAACTCCCTTTAAGTTTCTATCATATACCTTTTGCCCTTTTCAAAAAAGCTGGGCTTATTTTAACTGTTTCAGAATTTTTTAAAACTTAGCTTTTATTTTGCTGTTTATCCTTATTTTTTCTTTTTTTAACTCTATTTTTTGTTGTTTACTATTCTATTAACTTTTTTTTTTAACATCTTTATTGTGGTATAATTGCTTTACAATGGTGTGTTAGTTTCTGCTTTATAACAAAGTGAATCAGTTATATTTTTTTTAACATCTTTATTGGGGTATAATTGCTTTACAATGGTGTGTTAGTTTCTGCTTTATAACAGAGTGAGTCAGTTATACATATATATATGTTCCCATATCTCTTCCCTCTTTGTCTCCCTCCCTCCCACCCTCCCTATCCCACCCCTCCAGGCAGTCACAAAGCACCGAGCCAGTATCCCTGTGCCATGCGGCTGCTTCCCACTGGCTATCTACCTTACGTTTGTTAGTATATATATGTCCATGTCTCTCTCTCGCCCTATCACAGCTCACCCTTCCCCCTCCCCATATCCGCAAGTCCGTTCTCCAGTAGTCTGTGTCTTTATTCCTGTTTTACTTTTTAAAAACTTTATGTCCTTCCTTCTTTGTGCTGTTGTTCTTTTACTAGCTTCATTTACTTTCATTACACACACACACACACACACACACACACTTTTCCTTCTAAGGACCACTTTAGCTGTATCCTCTTACCCAAGTTTTGATGTGTAGTTTTGGTGATAACATCTATTTTGCAATTTTTACTGGGATTGCCTTTTTAACTCATGAATTATGTCAAAGTATTTTTCCTCATTTTCTAGTTACATGGGATTTTTAAAATAAGGTCTTATTGTTAATTTGTAATTTTAAAAAGACAGAGATCAGAGAATGTAGTTCATATGATTAAGAAGTTTGTTTTAAAGACTTTTTTGTGGCCTAAAACATGCACCAGATTTACAGATATTCAATGCACTGGAAAATAACATATTCCATATTTATTGGAAACAAAATGATAGCTCTCTATTTATAGAAGCAAATTTGATGTTTCTATTCTTAACAATCGCTTTATGTATTTGATCTATCAGTTTCATAGAGAAGTGTGGGAAAAAATCCTATCACTACAAATGTAGAGCTGACTAATTTTCTTGTAATTCTGTAATTTTCTATTTTAATTGGAGGGTAGATGTTAGTTACTGATTAGTAATTGACTGTTATACTAGCTGGAGGAGCATTTATCTCTAAAAATGATTTTGGTTTAAAATTCCATTTTGCCTGATATTAATATTGCCTTACATAACTTTTTCCATTACTTTGTCAACCTTGCCCTGTCATTTTGCTTTAGATCTTTCTCCTGAAAACAGAATTTGCTAGATTTTGATTTTGAATCTAATTCAAGTCTGTGCCCTTTTAACAATTAAGTTCAACAGGTTTATGTTTGTTCTGATTAATAATATATTTTTGTAAAACAGAATCTTTAAAGTTATTCAGTACCTGATTCTTCACTCCTAAACAACGCAAGGATTCTAGAATGGCTTTTGGACTTTCTAACATATCCTGTT